CAAATTAGACCGCCGGGGTTTTTTTTTTCATTTTATCGGCACCTTTAGGCTCTAGCCGTGTAAACGGAAAGTCGAAGAAAAAGAAGAAGAAACGGAGAGATGAGAACGAAGGTTGTTGTTTCCTTTTCTTTTTGAACGTTACTACATATAAATTCTGTCATGATTCACTTCAGAAGTCTGAGCATCGAAAGATATGACTCGTTTGATCTTTAATGTCTGTTTTTGTGTTCTCTTTGACAGATATTGAAACAATCTTACAGCGGTTCACCGTGGACGATTTATGTTGAGACGGGAGTAGGTTAGCGTTGCGCATGATTTCCATATTTAGTCCACAAACACAGAGTTGCAAAAAAAGATTGCCTCGGGAAGCTCTTGAAAGGTGAACTAGCCAGTGGCTGCTTGAATAAACTCTTTATTTAATATTTCACAGGGAATTGGATCATACAAATAATTCCATCTAGGACGGAAGCATATAGTTGAAAAGCTGGCTTCCTTCCGAACAGGGGAATGGCTACATTATGGTGAGTTTTTTGTGGCTAACCACTATGTTATACTGAAACAAGGATGTCAATCCACCCTTTTCGAGGTTGACCTGCGGGGGGGCGGGGGGGTAACACGTGTAGGCGATGCTAATTTTTCGGACAAACAAACGACATTCAGCTTTTCGGTCATGTTGTATTATAATACTGTAATAAATATTACTTTAATGGTTAAACGATATGCTTGTGCTCCAAAGTACTATCCATGTTTATATTATAATAATCTTACTTAGTGTTGTTTGTTTGTCCGAAAAATTAGCACGTGTTACCCACGCAGGTCAACCTCGAAAAGAATGGCTGTAAGTTAAAGGCATAGGTGTTAAACTTATTCTGATTGGCTTAGAGGGAAAAATGTAAACAAACGTGCTATAATTATGCGAGAACGAAATTCGCCCTTGTTACGACGATTTGCTCCGAAAAAATGTTTTGCAGGAAATGTGGTTATTTTTGTTCGACATGTGGAGAACGTATTGTAGGTAAGAAAAATATTGAGTGTGTCTAACTGTCTATACAAGACATAGGCTTCATTTTGAGCAACAATCACAATGCTATGCACGAATCTATGGATTTCTATTGACCCATTTCTGATTTCAAAAACATTGATCCATTTCTGATTTCAAAAAAAGATTGCCTCAGGAAGCTCTTGAAAGGTGAACTAGCCAGTGGCTGCTTGAATAAACTCTTTATTTAATATTTTACAGGGAATTGGATCATACAAATAATTCCATCTATAGGACGGAAGCCTATAGTTGAAAAGCTGGCTTCCTTCCGAACAGGGGAATGGCTACATTATGGTGAGTTTTTTGTGGCTAACCACTATGTTATACTGAAACAAGGATGTCAATCCACCCTTTTCGAGGTTGACCTGCGGGGGGGCGGGGGGGTAACACGTGTAGGCGATGCTAATTTTTCGGACAAACAAACGACATTCAGCTTTTCGGTCATGTTGTATTATAATACTGTAATAAATATTACTTTAATGGTTAAACGATATGCTTGTGCTCCAAAGTACTATCCATGTTTATATTATAATTAGATTAGATTAGATTAGATTCTTACTTAGGGACGGACCATTTGATTTTTCATGGGGGGGGGGGCGCAAATCCGAAAAAAAATATCGAGCATGTCTCGAATGGAAGAAAAAAAAATCGAGCATCACTAACACCAGCAAAAAAAAAAATATCGAGCACAAAAAAATTCTAAATGCCTTGGTTAACAATACCGGAAGTATACATGCAAAATACAAACCGATACAAACCAGTTCTGACAACTTTAACTTCAATAATTCAATTATCCACAAATTATCTTAATGGTATCCCTAAGAAACCCCAATCTTAACACTGAAAGTCCCACACTTTTGTAAATATGACATCGATTAATGAGGGTGGGGGATGGGGGGTCCCATGCTTATTATCCTGAGTGGAAATCGGTCTTAATATTCAATTGGGACAAACTTGGGATTTTAAGGAAAAATATTGGTCAGGAAGTGGGATTAATAAAAACATCATGGCAAAATGTGGTAAAGTATTCATTAAACTTCAAAGATTATTTATTTAATTGTATATAGTGTTGATGCAACATTTGCAACAGGCCTTGGAAGGCTTGTTAATGATGCAGAGGAAAAGATGGCAAATTGCAAAATAAAAAAAATACAGCACGGCAAACCACACTTAGCAATTTATGCTAAAAAAGACATAACCTGTGATGAGGAGTTACACTACGACTATCACTATGGTGTGAAGGACCTTCCTTGGCGTAAGACTCAAGGTAATCTGCACTAGACTAGCGTAGATGTGTTACCACTAACAGAATCTAACTAGTGGAATGGAGCAATGGACTGCAATGAATTGACCGAATCATATTTGTTTATAATTAAATATTAAATTCAGGCAGCAACATGTTCAAGAAATGTGGTTTGCACTGACCGGCAAGCCAGAATAATTTATAACCAAAACTTGTACCCTAAACACATAAAGCTCAAACTTGCATGCAAGTATGCCATACATACTTACCTCAAACTTAATCAGTTCACAAGCAATCTGAATTTGGTACAACCTCAAGTCTAGGAAAGTTAAACAGTGGTGATCAAAATTGTATTCATTGTCAAAGTTGTATATTTGCACTAAAACCACTATATTAACAAAGATGCATGCCTCATATATTTGAAGCAGCACTCTCCCTTGCCTCCTGCAAAGTTGTATGGCATTACACAGAGTAAAATAATAAATTATGAAGTATAGAATAGCCTTCTTTCTTCTGTCAGACTTCTGCACATTATACACAATCGTTGATTCTGACAAACAATCTAAGATTATTTTTCACTGGGGGTGGGGGGATTGTATCATTTCACCTACAATGTAAGTGCACAAGGCTCTTCCCTTGACAAGTAGAATCCTCTGGCATTATGCTGAGTAAAATACCATGCTTGGGCACATATTGCAGCCTAATGGGCTAAAATAGCCGTAGCATGCCACATACATGAATAAATACAATGTACAAATGCTATACAATTACTTTATGGTTTCCGTGTTTGGATGGCCTGATCCAAACACGCGGGAATGTTGCGAGAGTTAAGAAAAGCGCGCGAAAGCACAAGCCGAAGGCGATTGATTTTGCGTGCTTTTCTTAACTCGAGCAACATTCCCAAGTGTTTAGATCAGGCTATCCTAACAGGGAAACCATAAAGTAATTGTTTTATAAAATAACAACAACACAATAGTCTTCCGTGTTTGGATGGCCTGATCCAAACACGGGTTTCCACCAATCAGAACACGCTTTATATACATGTTATTTTATAATAAATATTCTAAATCTTCATTGTCATTTGCGTCCAAAATGTAAATTGCTGAGTGGACCATCTTCCACAGAGATATGGAATAATAATTCCATCAGGGCATTTAATACCGGGACAGCCTGCCCCTCAGAATTCTCAAAATATAAGGCTTGTTTCCAAAAGATTCACAGTATGATGGCCTCCTAACCACAGGCGGCCCAATCTCAGAATGAATGATCAGGTGTTGCGGGTTTTTAACGGTTTTTATAAACAAATTTATAGTCAACCAAAACTATTTTAAAAACATTCTTAAATGAGTTAAATAAATACATTTTAACAATAAAATATAGTTGACATGATAGTATAATACCTTTGCATTCTTTTAATTACTCCATGAGCTCATTTAGAGCGGTTGATGTAACATTTTCTGTGGCCTACATTGTGTGTGCTCATCTATATATAATATAACAGTAAAAGGCTAATCACTGGCGGCACGACCGCATCGCCTTCAATGCCAAATATCTCCGCTCAAATTTGTCGTACGCCAAAACAAATTCGATTACATCTTTTCACAACGATTTCTCTTTCTAAATAATATGGTTTGATCGTAGCTTGGGCAAATTTAGCGACGAACGGAACCAAAATCTCCTCAACTTCGGATACTGTTCAAAATACTTAGGGCTGCTCGGGCACGATCGTGGACGTGACGTAATCAATACATACTGACAATAACGCCTTAGCCGGGGTGGGACAGCATATCAAATCCGACGATAGTTTGTCGCTTGATGCTGTCCCACCCCACGTAAGGCGTAAGGCGTTATTGTCAGTATGTATTGATTACGTCACGTCCACGATCGTGCCCGAGCAGCCCTAAGTATTTTGAACAGTATCCGAAATTGAGGAGATTTTGGTTCCGTTCGTCGCTAAATTTGCCCAAGCTACGATCAAACCATATTATTTAGAAAGAGAAATCTTTGTGAAAAGATGTAATCGAATTTGTTTTTGCGTACGAGAAGTTTGAGCGGAGATATTTGACATTGAAGGCGATGCGGTCGTGCCGCCAGTGATTAGCCTTTTACTGTTATATTATATATAGATGAGCACACACAATGTAGGCCACAGAAAATATTACATCAACCGCTCTAAATGAGCTCATGGATTAATTAAAAGAATGCAAAGGTATTATACTATCATGTCAACTATATTTTATTATTAAAATGTATTTATTTGACCAATTTGAGAATGTTTTTAGAATAGTTTTGGTTGACTATTTAAAATTTGTTTATAAAAACCGTTAAAAACCCGCAACACCTGATCATTCATTCTGAGATTGGGCCGCCTGTGGCACAACAACGTTGAAAATGTATTTTGAAACGACGATTTCTCTATATATTCTGTTCAGAACTATTGCTCTTCGTAAAAAAACCCACGGGAATGGGTTTTTCTCCATTAAAAACACTTTTTTTCCACTTCAAGTCTGGATAGAATTGTTTTTGCAAACTTTGTTGAAAAAAACAATTCGCACTCCCGGCCAAATAATAAGTATATACTTAATCTTTGTCCCGGCACCGCGCGAATTTCCACGCCACAGGAGTCTGGGACTAGCCAAAATGCCCTTATAAATCCGCCATTTTGTGGAGACAAAATTTTTACTGAGAAGAGATAGGAGCACGCATTCTATGTCTATTATTTCTATGCTCGCATGGCTCGCATGGCTCGCACCCTGGCTCGCATGGCTCGCACTCTGGCTCGCATGGCTCGCACCTTGGCTCGCATGGCTCGCTGGCTCGCACAATATTGAAACTCGTTCAATAGCGTTGTCCGCAATTGACGTCACGAAAATTCGACCCCCCGCCAAGACTCAGACAAACATTGGCAACATTTAATATAAATAGTATTACGATTAAGAGCTTCCTGTGAGTTAGCTTGATAGTTTGATCGTTTGTTTACAGTTTATTTGTGCGAAATCATACACACCTTGTACTTTTCGCTTTACCTGAAGTGCCAGTGCAAAATATTTTTGCTTTGGAAGTAGAAATATACGCTTTTTCGTCACTTTAGTATCGACTGTCATGTCGTTTCTATCAAAGGCAGTGTCTACTGTGTTATAATAGTCCATGGTTTGGCGTAACTGTTGCTATAAAGAAAGGGTATGCAAAAGAAAGGACGATAGAAAGTCTGTAGTAGCAGATATTTAACGAAAAAATCTCGTAGTCGTACCAGATTTAATTCGTAGCCCAAGCGAATCAGTTCTAAAGTTCCCTATTTAATGTTGTTGATTTCATGTTACTAACTTACCTCGCTTTAGTGTGCATTATTTTATTACTTTAGACATCTCTTTTATTAATAGCGAAGTCCAATACCAAAGAAGCTAGGATTATTTACTATAATCTATTGACTACATATTCAACTTATAAAATACGGATTTATTAGGAATGTAATTAAAATTAATACTTTCAAATTTAAACTTTTAAAAAATGTCAAAGATAAACTACAAATATAAAATCTTCCGTTGACCAGTAAAACTATTTTGCTTTGACAATACAACAAAAATATGTTATTATAAAAACAACATTTTTATTTATCTATTTTTAAAGTTTTTTAAAATAGAGAACCGCCCTTTATTATTAACACTGTGTTAATTAAATAGCCTAATGCATGAGTCAATTCCTGGAGTAACCATCCCCCCCCCGGGACACCCCCGGGCATTTGCCCGATAGACAGTTCACGGGGGTCGGGAATTTGCCTTTCATATATGTGCACGGGGGCCGGGTATTGGAGGACCCCGGGGATTTGACAAATGGTTGCCCAGAATCCCACCCACAAATTTTAAGGCAGCAAAACCTAGTTTCAGGCAAGCATGTGGGCGCGCTGATCGTGGTTTGCGCCCTCGTGGTCAAGGTGGCGTGAAATTTATTGTAAGAATAAGCGAAAATTATACCTTCTGCCATGCAAATTTAAATACAACTACTAAAGGTTTATGTTTTATAATATTCCATAGCAGTTTAATACTATAATGTTATTAAATGACTATGATTATATGCCTTTAAAAGTTTAATTAACGTTTACAGTCGATTTCACGAAACTTTGACCACAAAATTTCCGAACTTCGTTGCGAAGTTCCCAAGATTGTTGCGAAGTTCAAAAGTTCATAATGAGATTCACAAACCTGTTCGTATTAAAACTACGCATTTGATTGGGTTATTTTACTTCACGGATCAATCAGGGACTTTGTTTACAAATTGGCTTGTGAATTCCAATATGAGCTTCCGAACTTCACAACGAACTTGCGAACTTCGCAACGAAATTCGGAACATTTGTGGTCAAAGTTTCGTGAAATCGACTGTAAAATCGTCCCCGGGGTGGGGCATTTTCCACTCTCAGCTTGCCCAGGGGCCGTGCATTAGTCTTCAAGTTGTGTCCCGGCACCCGGGCATTTACACTGTCATAACCAATCTAATCAAATTCCCGGGTGTGTTCCCGGGGGGGGGGGGATGGTTACTCCTGGAATTGACTCATGCATAACACTGTCTGGTTAAACTATTGCTTCTCTCAGTCATAAATTTAACAACAAACGCTCTCACTAAAAACGATGGCGTCCCAGACTCATCTTTTGAGCATCATCCATCTGATTATACTGTCGATTTATAAACTCAAGCAGTGGTTAAAATGTAGAGGCCGGCTTATAGCAAAGCGGTATAAAACGCCTCGTTCTTCTTCAGCGAGTTAGCGATTGCTTTTAATAGTTCGGGAAAGCATCGTTCGCTGGATGTATTGACGGGGGAAATGGTTAGCTGCGAAAGTTCTTGGAGAATAACCAGCACAATCCGCAGTCAATAACAGTCAACACATTGCTACTGCTGAGTACTGTTTCAGCAATTATTCTGAGTATTTTGAATCACTTGGACATTTTCCCCAGCAACAGAGCTTAGCAATAACCATGTTTGTAGTTTGGGATAAATTTAAATTCGTTTTAGCACAGATAAAATAAATAAAAACGTCAATTTAGACCAATTTATGTTCGCTGCTAGTACAATTCTATACAAAATGTTAGTTTGTTTGTCTGAGTCTCGCGGGGGGTCTTCATTTGGAAAATCTATTTTTAGCAACTGCGGACAACGCTATTTACATTGTTGACGTTAAGGCCAATGAAAATAGCGTTGTCCTCAGTAGCTAAAAATAGATTCTCCAAGTGTAGACCCCCCACGAGACTCAGACAAACAAACTAACATTTTGTATAGAATTGTACTAGCAGCGAACATAAATTGGTCTAAATTGACGTTTTTATTTATTTTATCTGTGCTAAAACGAATTCAAATTTATCCCAAATTACAAACATGGTTAATGCTAAGCACTGTTGCTGGGGAACATGTCCAAGTGATTCGAGATACTAAGAAAAACTGCCGAAACAGGGAATTGAAAAGTCGGACGGGACGGGAATGTCTGCAGTAGCAATGTGTTGATTGTTATTGACTGCGGACTGTGCTGGTTTTTCTCCAAGAACTTTCGCAGCTAACCATTTTCCCCCGTCAATACATCCAGCGAACGATGCTCTCCCGAACTATTAAAAGCAATCGCTAACTCGCAAGTTCTTACTTGGCGTTTTATACCGCTTTGCTATAAGCCGGCCTCTACATTTTAACCTGTTCTTGAGTTTAATCGACAGTATAAGCAGATGGATCATGCTCAAAATATGAGTCTGGGACGCCATCGTTTTCAGTGAGAGCGTCTATGACTGAGAAAGAACTTAAATTTATGACTGAGAGAAGCAATAGTTTACCAGAGAGTGTTAGGCTATTTAATAATTAACACAGTGTTAAAGGGCGGTTCTCTATTTAAAAATAGATAAATAAAAATGTTGTTTTTATAATAACATATTTTTGTTGTATTGTCAAAACAAAATAGTTTTACTGGTCAACGGAAGATTTTATATTTGAGATTTTATATAGTTTGTAGTTTATCTTTGACATTTTTTAAAAAAGTTTAAATTTGAAAGTATTAGCTTTAATTACATTCCTAATAAATCCGTATTTTATAAGTTGAATATGTGGTCAATAGATTATAGTAAACAATCCTAGCTTCTTTGGCTTTGGACTTTGCTATTAATAAAAGAGATGTCTAATGTAATAAAATAATGCACACTAAAGCGAGTATTAAAATATAAGTTAGTATAAACATGAAATCAACCTCGAAATCAACAACATTAAATAGGGAACTTTAGAACTGATTCGCTAGGGCTACGAATTAAATCTGGTACGACTACGAGATTTTTTCGGTTAAATATCTGCTACTACAGACTTTCTATCGCCCTTTCTTTTGCATACCCTTTCTTTATGGCCTCTTTATAGCAACAGTTACGCCAAACCATGTACTATTATAATACAGTAGACACCGCCTATGATAGAAACGACATGACAGTCGATACTAAAGTGACGAAAAACTGTATATTTCTACTTCCAAAGCAAAAATATTTTGCACTGGCACTTCAGGTAAAGCGAAAAGTCCAAGGTGTGTATGGTTTCGCACAAATAAACCGTAAACAAACATCAAACTATTAAACTAACTCACGGGAAGCTCTTAATCATATAATACTATTTATACTAGAAAATACATGCATGCAGAAACCCTCGCCTTGCTGACAAAACCGTTGTATTTTCCGAACAGGAAGTATCTAGAGTAGTTGTCATGGTAACACGATAGTTTTTTAAGAATATTCTTACAAATGAAAATCGCCTAAAAATTTTTAGGTATCACTTTTAATTACAAAATTATCAATTTCCCAACATATATATGTTAGGTATATAATTATACGTAATACAAGCTTCAATTTAAGGTAAAATTCAACCACAAACAATTCACAAAACGTTTTAAAGTGTTCTTTATAAAACTAAACTGCCTTTAACTATTAAATGGCTTTATCGATAAACTTTGAGTTTGCAATAAAATGATTACAAATTCTCGCTTGCAAATAACTTTGGTCTTTGCTTTATTTTTTATTTAAAAAATTCAATATAATAAAAAAGGGAATCAATATTAAAGTTACACTGAAATTTATATATGTTGTCTTGTTTAGTTGTTCAGTTCATATACGCAAAGGCCGTCGGGTTTTAAAGCCATTATAAAATCAATATTTAAAACAAACTTACCTTCGTTAACGTCGGCTCCCTTCTTTTAGCTGATTCTTTCGTATTTCGCTGTCGTCATGCAGTCGTTATAATGCAAACTTTAAATTGGACCAATCAGTGTCCGTTATTCATGACAATCCGCCATATTTTTGAGATCAGTGAGGATGACCACCCATCGTTGGTGACCGACGTCCGCGCTCATTGATGAACTTTAGACTTCGCTAATGCTTTCGTTTCCCCGGGTGTAAATAGCCGGGGGGAATTAGTACCCTCGCACGGCGGCGCGGCTCGGGGATTAAATGTTGCCAATGTTTGTCTGAGTCTTCGCGGGGGGTCGACTTTTCGTGACGTCAATTGCGGACAACGCTATTGATATCATGTTTCTCGTCCCCGCCCGCATGGGATTTATCTGCCGCACGAAAATTTTTCATTATTCATTATTTTTGAAAAATACGCTTAACAAAACACAAAATTGATCTCCAGATCAAAGTCTTATTGCTGCATTCCGCAGACGCAACTCAAATTGTATCTTTCTAAAGATATTACTCGCCAGAATGCCTCTATTTTTCATGTCAGCCCTGGTATTTATAAATTAAAATGAATTATACACCAATTTACTACAGATTTTTATCATATGGGTTTTTTTACTGGGTCTAGTCTAGGACCTGTATATGAGTTTGTATGCGATTCATTTAGGACAGGTAATGTCAACTGTTTTAGGGTAAAATGACCATGGCGGTCAACATGGCATATGTGCGAAAACCTGAATCCGGGGCGAAAGTCCTGAAAATGACCCCGCCCTGAAACGGCAGTGTCGACATAGCTCTAACTTCAGAAAAGGAAAAGCGATAGCCTTTCTGAAGTGCTTATAGTGTTTAGAAGGGTTGCTTTTAGGGGTGGTCATTGGAAGGAAAAATTTGTCGAAGTATAACATTTTACCAGAAAATGACTATGCACCACCCCAGGTAAATTGCTGATTATGCACAAAATAACTAATATGCCTGGCAGAAATTAAATATTCTTATTTCCTAAAAAAAATTATCATGGGGTGAAAAACTATGCTTAATTTAATATAAATATTGTTGATTTCATAAGGATTGTCATTGTTTTCTTTAAATATAATATATTTTATTTCACTTACCCCCCACGAAAACACGATTTCAGCCATATTTTGCCGTCTTGTTTGCTTTTTATCGCCGAATCTCGCAAATATCATCCAGTTATTGTACTTTTACATAATCATAAATGGCTGAAGAAGATTTCAAAGAAGGTTTCATCCACTTTGGTAACAGTGCAGTGTATTTTACCTTCGATATTGTGTCCTTCGATATTCCGCCAAATTGCCGCCATTTTAATGGCTTGCCGCTTCTCTGTCTGATAAATGCAACTTCTTCGTTTCCATATGTATTTAGATTACAGTATCCAAGAGTACTTCATTGTAGAATAGTCTCAATCCAAAAATTGGCAAGATTTGTCCCATTAGGAAGGAAAAATCCTCCCGTATACCATTTAGGTTCAAAATAAAAAACAAATCATTTGAAAGTCACGCGCAATCTTCGCGAAAACTTCTCGTGGACACATGACAGGGGGGGTTGAATATTTTCACGAATATGTTCGCCACCACAGAAACAGAACTAAATATATTGTATTTATTGTATTTTTATGATTTATGACAAAACTACGCAAATATTTATTGTTTTTATTATAAATCATAAAAATACAATAAATACAATATATT